GCGTTCCTGTCTCACCGACTCTCCCCGGCGGAGAGTAACTATGACATTGGCAATAGGGAGTTGCTTGCGGTGAAGCTGGCCCTGGAGGAGTGGAGGCACTGGTTGGAGGGGGCGGAACAACCGTTTGTGGTGTGGACAGACCATAAGAACCTCGAATACATCCGGACAGCCAAACGGTTAAATTCCCGACAGGCCAGGTGGGCTCTGTTTTTGGACGCTTTGATTTTGTCCTGTCTTACAGACCCGGATCCCAGAATGGGAAGCCTGATGCCTTGTCCAGGGTCTTCTCGAAGGAGGAGACGAGGAAGACGCCAGAGACCATCCTGCCACTGAGACGGGTTGTGGGAGCCCTCCAGTGGGGGATCGAAGGGAAGGTTCGGGCAGCCCTTAGGGGGGACCCGGGCCCAGGTAATGGCCCTCCGGGTAGGCTGTTTGTTCCCGAGGGGACGCGACCGGCAGTGCTGGAGTGGGGCCACTCGTCTAAACTGACCTGTCATCCTGGAGTGGCACGTACCATGTCCTTTCTGCGCCGTCGATTCTGGTGGCCGGCCATGGGTGAGGACACCCGGGCATACGTGGCGGCCTGTCCAGTGTGTGCGCAAAACAAGGGCTCAAACCGGCCCAGCGTGGGACTATTGAGGCCATTGCCGATCCCTCATCGTCCCTGGTCCCATCTGGCCATGGATTTCGTCACCGGACTTCCCGTGTCTGGAGGTAACACGGTGGTACTAACGGTAGTGGACCGGTTCAGCAAGTTTGCTCATTTCCTGCCGTTGCCCAAGCTCCCGTCGGCCAAGGAGACAGCGGAAATTATGGTAAGGGAGATATTCCGCATTCATGGTCTTCCTGTTGACATTGTCTCTGACCGTGGTCCTCAGTTTGCCTCAGCCTTGTGGAGGGCTTTCTGCACCGCCGTTGGAGCTACGGCCAGCCTCTCTTCCGGGTTCCATCCTCAGACTAACGGTCAGGCTGAGAGGGCCAACCAAAAGATGGAGTCGACCCTACGATGCCTGGCTTCCTCTAACCCCACGACCTGGTCTGAGCAGATCCCATGGGTGGAGTACGCGCACAATACGCTCCCCACTACAGCGACCGGTATGTCCCCTTCCAGTGTGTTTACGGCTATCAGCCTCCACTATTCCCATCACAGGAGAAGGACCTGGCCGTACCATCGATACAGCAGCAGTTTCGCCGATGCCACCGGACATGGCATCGCGCCCGGATATCTCTGCTGAGAGCCTCAAATCAGTACCAGCAACAGGCTAACCGCCGACGCACTCCAGCACCATCCTACTCAGTGGGAGACAAGGTATGGCTGTCAACCAGGGACCTCCCCCTCCGTACCGAGTCCAGGAAACTGTCACCCAAGTTCATCGGTCCCTTCCCAATCCAACGTGTCATCAACCCCACTGTGGTCCGCCTCAAGCTCCCTCGGTCTCTTCGTGTACACCCATCATTCCATGTGTCCTGCATTAAACCTGTGTCCTTTTGTCGCCTCCTTCCCCCCACCTCCTCGGCCGCCTCCCGTATGATTGATGGGGCCCCGGCCTTCACGGTAAAGAAGATTATGGACTCTCGGAGCAGAGGGCGGGGTTACCAGTTTTTGGTAGACTGGGAGGGTTACGGTCCGGAGGAGAGGTGTTGGGTTTCCCGGCGTCTGATTCTGGATCCCAGCCTGATCCAGGACTTCTATCGGCGGAAGCCGGGAGCCCCAGGTGGACCGCCTGGTGGCGGTCGTGGGGGACGGGGTACTGTCAGAGTTCCCCGCTCTGGACCCGGGTAAGGTCTCCCTCTGGTGGATCTGGAGAGGTTGGCATCTGCACGCACCTGTCACCATTCCCGTAATCACACACCTGCACCAAGTCTTCAATCACCAGGGTATAAGAGGGAGAGCCTGACAACCAGCCGACGTCGGATTGTTACCTAGAGTCACGTATGTCGACCTCGGTCATATAAAGTCTCAGTCAGAAGAATTCTAGTCTTATCGAGAGCTGTTTGTTGTTTTGTGTCGTGTTAGTCCGTGTCCCGTACTTACCTCTTGTCTCGCCTCCTCCGTTACAGTTTGTTCCTGTTCTGTTCCTGCACTCGGAGAATCACTGGACACCCTGCACGTTCTGGGATATCGTCACCTGGGATTCACCTTCATCACCGGCACTCCTCACCCCCGCTCCTGTCTGCTCATCACCATCAGTTGTTTTCCAAATAAAACATCCATTTGTTCACTTGCCATCTGACTGCCGTGTCATCGTTCTGCATTTGGGTTCTTCCTCATCACAACCCTGACACAGAAGACAGACGTAAACGATGAAAATGATGTGTGTGTGACAAAAGAAACTGATGTTCCTTTCTTAATTTTTCCACCCTTCTTTTTCACAGCGTTTAGAGCTAAGAGGCTTTGCCTAAAGGGCTTGCAATCCAATTTCTTAATCGAGAACTTCTTACTGTTTTTCAGTGACGCTTCCTGGGCGTCATCACATAAGTCAAGCCAGTGTAATTGGTCAACTGTTATCCTGTGAGACAGTTCTGAACAAACTCAAAGTCAATGGCTGAATCTGTGCTCTATTTGATGGCAAAATCCTGGGTGGTTTAAATTCTGAAAGCTAATTGGCTGATAGCCATGGTATATTATGCTGTATTCCACAGTTATGACATCACATTTTGTTTTAATGCTCGAATTACGTTTATACATGTTTTTTTATCAACAATAAGGCAATTTGTGTTTTTGTGGTATATGGCCAACATACAAATGCTTAACACTGTGTCCAGGTTCTCAGCAATGCATTGTGTCTATAAACAGCTATAGCGCTATTGGCCTCATTACTTAGTTTTACATGGTCATAGGTTCTATATGTTTATGTGGGACATATTTCCATTTAAACATGTCTAGTATGCTATTGATTAGAATTCTTCCAAAATATTTTCACAGTAGGTTTAAAAAAGCCTCTCAATGTATAGTATCGTATATGTTCCTGTAATATTTTCTAGACATACTGAAAATGCTCCTGGAAAACGTATTCTTACGTCTTCCTCGTCTTTTAACATCGTTTACAAGTTAATAACTATACATTTTTGTGATTGCAGTCTCACACACGCTCGGGAATAACTAAGTCGCAGCAGAAAGGCCATCATACGGAGGAAATGATGCATGATAAATATATGATAGAACCCACGAACAGCCAACCAAATACCGCGACCAATCCAATCCGCCCTAATTGCATTTCCACCAATAATACGACGTCAGGGGCGTGTATGAACACAGGGTGTGTTCGGATCATCGCAGGCTACAATACCCGTCCATTTGCATTACAGTGTATGAGTCATTGCCCACTGAGTGGTAACGTGGTGGAGCGACTTTCTTGAAATCTTTTCCATTTTGTCTTTGAAGATTTCAGGTGGAGATTCTCTAAAATTTTCTTGACAGGATTGAAATGTTACAGTTTCGGTGTTCGATAGTGCTGAAAGAGTTCTTTCAATACAACCTATTAAAGCGCTCCCTGCACGGCATCTCGAGAAATAAAACGTTTTTACCGAACTACTACTGCTGCTTCAGCACCGCCTCTGGTAAAGTCCGCTCCAGATTGAGGGTTCTCCATGCCGGTGTCCAGTGTCGGTCACCGGGGACCAGGACCTACTGTACCAAAGCCGAAGGTGCTGCGATATCCGTGGCTGAAAATGTGGCACCACTGACCGCTGCTGTACCGGTCACCGACCCGGAGAAGAAAGATGAGACTATCAAAGAACCGATAATGGAAAAGTAAGTTGAAAACATTTAGACTAGAGTGGAATACAAGCGCCACAAGTTTTGAATTATTCATATGCCAAATTAGCATATCACGAACACGTGCTCACTATTTTATAGAACGTCGCGTGCGGATGTTGCGCGTGTTCACGTCAACACCGGGGAGCGTTCTCTTGCTTTTGTTTACCAGCGTTTGGGCTTATTGTCCCCCATAGGCGGTCGTTATAATATCCCACGCTAAGCTAGTGATTGACCTTATCCGTGAACATTTAAAAATTAAACACCTGTAATAAATAAATGCTCAAATGTGTTATTACAGTGAACCGTAACAGTACGTTCATTATTTGACACCGAACATTCTCGAACGTTCTTTTGAATTGCGTTCTTTTAATTTCGAACTTCGAATCTTCACATGCTTGTCTTGACGCGAGTTGTACCAGGGAGCGTCCCATTTCCCCTAATATGTGTTCTGCTGCATTCATAAGCAAGCTGGAATGTGCGATTGGACGCTTTCTCGTGTTTAGGCGGTTGCGAATCCCCGAGAGGGCGCATTTAAGGGGTATGCGGAATTCAGTTGACTTGAGACGGAAGCCGCTTCTGATTGTTTACAGATCAGCCCACAATGGGTTATATCTGTGTTACTACTACTTGGCGTTGGATAATAAACACCCTCGATCTCCTAATGGCACTGCCATGATGACAGCTTGTTTTTTGTTTGCAATTTAGTGCTTTGACATGGTTGTGTTTACCTCATAGACTGTATAAAGATAGGTTTACCTGCATAACATGCTGCTATCACAGTGATGTCCTTGAATCTGACATCAGAGTTCAGGCTGTGATCAATGAAAGAGGCGTCTCCCACCATGGATGGAAGAGAAACCAAGACACCCAATTGAAATAATATAGCAATAAACAACCAACACAACCCCAGTGAGATGCCTCGTATTGCATGCCCCTGTATGGTGGGTTAATAAGAAGATAGATGTGTGTCTCCCACAGCCAGTGGTCTTGGTTCTGCCCACTAGCAAAACAGTTAAATGTAATTGTTACCCAAATGCTCATTAGGGCAGGGTTCTCTGCTGGACCAGAACCATGATTGTGTTCACTGACACAGGATGATAATGTAATGGATAATTGTCACGCTTGTATAGCTTTACTTAAGATGGCTTTCTGAAGTTGTATACATGTTCTCTGAAATCAGGTCCAAGCACAGCACCAACGGACTAGTACTGTCCGGGGTATTTGACTAGTTTTCATGGTGGAGTTGTTTGCTCAGTGGTAGAGTACATGCTTTATATATATGATGTGCTGGGTTCAGTCCCAACCAGGTCCCTGTTGCAAATTAGAATTTGTTCTCAATCAGCCTACCTGGTTAAATAAAATAAAAAACATTTTACATTTAATAACTTTAAGAACCGCAAATAACGCAAGCTAGAGGCAAAGTTGTGCCACTTATACATCCTCGATTGAAAGTTATTGCAGACTTATTCTTCTGAGTGGGAAACAGTGCTACTGACGAACAACAATTGCCAGGGTTAGATGAATAAGACAACTCCCAATGAAGCACACACAGGAAAAACTCTTTCTTAACGATCACCAGAAATACTAATGGAATTGCAGATTTCTGACCTTTTCATTCGCTCCTATCCCAAGTTTGCTTTCACTCTGTGATCATCTCAGCTACGGGATGTCAATTGTCATAACGTTAACATAAACACAGCCACAGAGGAAAAAGCTAAAATTATTTACAATTTGGATGTCAGGACAGGCTTGACTGTAAATGTAGAATGAATCACAAAACGATTAAAAGTATAATTAAACTTTCTTTCTGTGTCGAACTGCTCAAAGTAAAACAAATACATTTTGTGTACAAATAAAAGAGTAGTTTCAATGTCTCATTCTGCATGACTTCCCCAACATGCCTCCCAAATAAACTATGTCGTCCAGGCCACCACATCATTGCACTCAATCTGCAGGTAGGGGTGGGCGATATGGGAAAAATATCATATCACGATTTTTTCAGGAAAAATCACGATTCACGATTTTATCACGATTCTTTTTCATGTTGCTTTTTAAGACTATTTTGCAAATTACTGAGCCGCAATACAAGCAAATTATATCTCCATTTAAAAAATATAGCCATACAAGGTAACAAAACATAAAAGGGAAAAAAATTTAAAGTAGCATATTTTAATCACGTGTATATTTAATGGAAGTGCAATTGTGCAAAGAAGCTCCCATTCTCATCCGCAGCTTCACCATCCATTCACTGTGTAACCTGCCATCCATCTACAGCATCAGATGATCTACTGTGTTATCATCCTGAATTAAATGAATTATGAATTATGCAGTAAAACATTTTACTAAAATAGTATGTAGCCTATTTATTGTCTTATGTAACCATACAATACAAAATTAAAACCATGATTTTAAAATGCACAGGCTATGATATTTAAATTTCTAAAGATCGAATAAATGAAAATCCAACAAACTGTATGTCCTATTTTGATGTAATAAATGCTAAAACATTTTAGATCACAAGCGACGCCTAATCAAATGATTTGCGCATGATTGGCCGTATATATTGCAGCACAGACTCTTGAAATACAAACATTAGGCTACAGTGTATAATTCGATCATTTACATTTGTAAAATGTATTAGCCTATAGTAATTACAGTCCAGTAACTAAGGCACTGTAGACAATGAAACACGTATTTTACAGTTTGTATATTGGTCACGGTCGGGTATATTCTGCTGTTACCCGGTAGATACATTAATCAATTTCGTTTTATATTTTCGTTCAGTTTCATATAGATCGGACCAAAACGCGTCCATTTTCATGTAGACTACACCAAAACGCGTCCAGTTTTAAACAGACCAGACCAAAACGGATCCAGTTTCATATAGACCAGACCAAAACGAGTCCAATATAGATCAGACCAAAACGAGATCAGACCAAAACGCGTCCAGTTTCTGAAAACGGGACAAGGTAAAATGCACGTATTTAGGAAAAGTCATGGAAGGACGAGGCTGTAGCTTTTCAACATTATATATTTATTTATATATAATGGGCTGTTGGCGCTTCTAGTGTTAACTAAAACGCCATAGATCTGCATCTAATAGAATGTGCACTGGAGCGCGATTCTACGATATTTCCGAAAAAGTGAATCGTGGAGACATTTTAATAGTCCACGATTAAATATCGTCATATCGCACACCCCTATCTGCAGGTTTCATTTATTATCATTGTTAGTGTCAACAACTGTAGTACGTAGTTGTTTATTTACCTGCTTATCGAATTGTGAAACAATTGTGGTTCATACTGCATATATAAGATTAGTAAACAACCGTACCTCAGTATCTCAAAGTAGTAGCCCCATTTGGAGTCTTGATTGTGAGGAGGGGATGTCTGCACACGGTGTTCTTTCCTTCCTTTTTATCAGGTGCTCATAAATAAGTTAATGCCTAATCATAAAGGAAGAATGGTGTGGATATATGCACCACTCAACCTCTTACGGTCCACGTTATTGTCTTGGGGTTTTTGACTATGTGTCTTTCATGTCAAGTTACCATTCTAAACCCGAGCTTTAAGATTTTTTTTTTTTTTCGTCATCACAGGCTGCCAGTGTGTGTCATGGGTTCAGAGGGCCTTTTCTTTTCATGGGTTCGTGTTGGGGAGTGGCGAGTGTGTGTTGGTTGAGAGATGGCAGCGTGCTCTGTTGTTGTTGTTCACCGTGGGTGTTGTGTTACAGTCAGAAGCCTCTGATTTATTGATTGCCAGTGTCAGATGACAGAGACACGTGTGCACGTGCATGTACACACATGAGCACTGCAGCCATTGGGGTAAAAGTAACTGTGGTAAACATAATTGTACTTAGGGACTGAGAGTAGGTTTGGTAGTGGAAAACCCCATATGAACCCTCTCTTCACTGCCTCTACTGCTCTCATGTTTTATTGGATCAAGTTTAGTTTTCTCTCTGGAGTTGAACTTGATAATACGTGGTTGATTCCCAGATTGCATTCTAATGATTAGGGCCATGAAATACTGTAGCCGTTACAAATATAGCATCAGTTCAGACCTCAGAATTAATTATTTTTAGTGCACCCCCCTGGCCCTACCTCCCAGAGCCACTGTGTGTAATATGAGCACCACTGGGGTTTAGAAGCTGGCAGTCCAGGGATGTTTGCTGGTCACACAGACATATATCTCTCTCATAGTGTCAACATGTTTGCTGGTCACACAGACATCTCTCTCATAGTATCAACATGTTTGCTGGTCACACAGACATCTCTCTCATAGTATCAACATGTTTGCTGGTCACACAGACATCTCTCTCATAGTATCAACATGTTTGCTGGTCACACAGACATCTCTCATAGTATCAACATGTTTGCTGGTCACACAGACATCTCTCTCTCTCATAATGTCAACATGTTTGCTGGTCACACAGACATCTCTCTCTCATAGTGTCAACATGTTTGCTGGTCACACAGACATCTCTCTCTCATAGTATCAACATGTTTGCTGGTCACACAGACATCTCTCTCTCATAGTGTCAACATGTTTGCTGGTCACACAGACATCTCTCTCATAGTGTCAACATGTTTGCTGGTCACACAGACATCTCTCTCTCATAGTGTCAACATGTTTGCTGGTCACACAGACATCTCTCTCTCATAGTATCAACATGTTTGCTGGTCACACAGACATCTCTCTCTCATAGTGTCAACATGTTTGCTGGTCACACAGACATCTCTCTCATAGTGTCAACATGTTTGCTGGTCACACAGACATCTCTCTCTCATAGTATCAACATGTTTGCTGGTCACACAGACATCTCTTTCTCTTTCATAGTGTCAACATGTTTGCTGGTCACACAGACATCTCTCTCATAGTATCAACATGTTTGCTGGTCACACAGACATCTCTCTCTCATGGTGTCAACATGTGCACCACATCAGGCTTACAAGAAGACCAACGCTTATCTCAATAGGGCCATTTTATCTAATTCTCAACTCTACTTCACACTTTGTTATTTCATTGTGGTAGCAGTTCATTGGTTTGGATGGGATCATATTCATCGCAGGCCAGGCATATAGATGAAGGTCTCCAAACGAGTCATACTCAGCAGAACATTGAATTTACACAACAACAAAATGGGCTTATGTGGAAGGAAAAAGCAGATTACACTACGTGATACAGTTCAGAATGGCTGAGGTGGCTTGGGGAGGTGTTGACATGTTTGCATCATTACTCTTCTGGCACCGGGTAAGTGTTTGCCCTGATATTGGATAAGGGAACAGAAGGACTGTATGATTGGGGCTATCAGAAATTCATTTACTTAGGCAAAAGTTGGAAAAGTCATTTGTAGACACGTTTCCATTGTACTAGTGACATACAACACTGCAGTACCTGTATACTAAGGACCAAGCCCTTTATCTATGTAGTAAACAACACACATGTGCAGTACCTGTATATTGAGGCCCAACTCCTTTATCTATGTAGTAAACTCACCTGTGCAGTACCTGTATACTAAGGACCAACCCCCTTTATCTATATAGTAAACACACCTGTGAAGTACCTGTATATTTTCACCAATCCCTTTAACCTATTTAGTAAACTATTGGTACAGTAACGCTAGACGGTATACAGGTCAGTAACATCCCTGGGGCTTGATGGAACATTTCCAAGTCTGTTCATATGTACACTGTTGTAAATTGCTTGGCCAACCTCTATATAGTGCAGTGAGGGTAGGTCATTAGCGCAGTATCTGATGGATTGTGAAGACTAGACTGAGACTTTCAGACGTACTTTTTTTTCTCATAATTTCTTTTCGTTTCCCAACCCTTCCTTTCCCCCCTCCTTTCTTGTTTTCCACCAGTAGACTCATTGAATAGTTGTGCAGTTAGTCATTGGACTGCCAGCCTGCAACTTACTGGATCCATACGGATATGTTAGTGTTTCTGTAGATTTGCGCGCATTGCTTCTGTCCACGAACATGTGACCAGTATTCCATTTATAGTGAGGGATATAGGAGCAGGACCGGATGCTATTACAGAACTAATGATGAGGGGATAAAGCTGTAATCCTTCAGCCCTGAGTCACCCTGCATGGTCACTAGCAATAAACCCTCCGACCGACAGTATTAAGGAGTGCTAGTTTGTTATGTGATGTAGTCTGTCATAAATGTGACACACATATTTACACATCTACATTATACTATCCTTCAAACCAGTTCTGTGCTCGAGCAGGGGACTGCCACACTGGCTGATCAATTCCCAAATTTCTTACGACTCAGAAACCTGGCTTGTCTATAGCCCAGATCGTGAC